CATCTCATTTTAAAGGCCCTGTGAGGAGCATATGAAGAGCTGGCAGTGGTCAGAGGGTGTGCAGGAGAGAAAGCCTGGGGGAATGTAAAGAACAGCAAATATACAGTGACTGTTCCCCTGAATATTCCCCTCAATATCTTCCAATTCGTGGCTCCAGCACTCCCCACGCCGGAGGCAGGATTTTTGAAGTTAATAGCCTTGGATGGATTTTTTCTTCCGTGAATTTGTGACACGGGGTGATAAAAATCAGATAAATGAGGAAATCACGGAAATAAGGGCAAGTAGTAGGTTGGGAGAGGGATGGGCAGCAGGAAAAAGTGCTGACTGATGGAAAGGGGAGCTGCCAACACGTGGGGCTGTGGGGAAGTGCCCTGAAGCCAACGGCAGAAGGGAGATGTTTGTGTCTGAAACCGGGAACTGGCGCAAAGTTCAGGGAGGGAGGAGAACAAGCGCAGTGGGACACGGGCTGCAAGGCAGGGGAGCGGCAGGATAACCACGGCCTCATCCCAGGGATGGCTCTTCCTTCTCCCATACCTCTGACAGCACTGTCCCTTTTCCCTCAGCAGGGATGGTCCTGCCCCTCGCTGTGCCGGCGGCGGGGTTGGCTCTGCTCACTGACCGAACAGGAGGTGATGCTATTTTTGTCTTGCTTTTGCCAGGCAGTGAGGGCACTGCAGAGGAGCAGCCTATGGAAAATAACTTTGTTCTGTGAGGTGGCCGATTCCCTTGAAACGGGCTGGAAGAGGAGCAAATGGATTGGCAATGACAGCCTTTCATTTCCAAGCGGGGAGGATTGAGAAGTTAAGGGAGCTAATTACCAGAGTCAGGTGGAACGAGCTGCTAAAGGGCTTTGACACGGCGGAGGCTTGGTGACAATGATTTCAAATGAAGGAGACGTGGTGGATTTAATATAGCCAGGATAGCAGGAGAGCCGGGATAACTTCACCTGGGAAGGTGTCTGCAGAGTGGGGGTTGGTGTTCAGAGATGGCTTTTGCAAAGCAAACCCAGCAGCTGGACCCGGCTGGGTTGCAGATGGGGAAGTCACTGCAGGGACATCCTGAAATTACGTGTGGTTTATTCCTCTTCAAGTTGTATGTGGTTTATTCCTCTTCAAATTGTGTGTGGTTTATTCCCCTTCAAACTGTGTGTGGTTTACACACCTTCGAATTGGGCATGGTTTAAAATTCAGCCACGAGCCCGCCTGTTTCCAAAGGCCACCTGAGACCTCCCGCTCACAGGGCCACCCTCCCTGTCTGGCTCTCCACAGGGATTTTAAAGCAAGGCTGGCTTTAGGCTTTGGCAGTTCCCCAGGGCTGGCAGGGGGAAGCCCCTGGGGCTGGGCTGTGCCAGGCTGTGCCCAAGCCGCATTGCAGAGCCGGGTTCAGGCAGCTACTGTCGTCCTCACCACGTGTGATTTACTGTCCCCCAACGGCCTCCTGCAAGTTTTCCGCAGGACTTTCAGGACTGTGCTGGATTCTGGCTGCTCCAGAGGGATTTTGCCTGCGTGACCCATTTAGCAGCCTGGCTGGGCACCTCTCCCTGCAAAAGCTGCTGCAGCTCTGCATTGCTTTTTGAAGCTTTCAGGTGAAAAAGCAGCAGTTCTCTCGCAGCTGACATGCTGAGGGCTTCTCTTTGTTTGCTGTTCTCACGCATCCTGGAAAAACTGTATTTTGGGCTCTACCTGCCAAAAGAGGCGACAGATGTTGCCAATTCCCGTGTAACAGAGGCTTCAAAGCCATGTGCCTGCTGCTCTCCTTCCTCAGCATCCCTGCTGCTCTGCTCCTGCAGAAACTTTCCCGTGGCCAAAGAACACGTCACTCAGGTTCATTTTTTTAGTGGCTGGGAATATTCCTGACCTGGGGGATGTGGCTGCCTGGAGACCCTCCCCGTGGTGTCAGCTCGGCCTCTGCTCACTGAAACCTCCCTGACCGAGGGATGTGCTTGGATTTCGGCTCCTGCTGACACTTTGGACACTTCATCGGGCTGAGTCACTCTGGGGGGAGCCTCTTGCCTCTCCTCCCTAACCACCTCCTCCAGCTCCCCGGGAAAGGCGCCGCGGGAGCCCCGAGCGCGGCTGCGCCGTGCGGAGCGGGATCCTTGAGGAACAGCGGAGCAGTTCGGAAATTAAAAGCCATTTCATTATGGGAAATGAATGTTTAATGAGCGTGGGATGACGTCTAGACAGCCCCTCGGTTGCAGGCTCTGGGAGGAGGGCTCAGCTGACACAACAGCACCGGCTCAGAGCCCAGGGGGAGGTTTGGCAGAGCTTTCCCGGGCGCTGAGGTCCCCGTGTGGGACAGACATCCTGGCACAGAAAGGAGCTCCTGCCTCCACGTCTTCTCGCTGCAGATGCCCCTCGTGCCTCTCTGGGCAGAGCCCCAAGGATCTGTGGCCACAGAGGGACGTGCTGGCAGGGGGAGGCTTGGCCGAGTGCCTGGCCCCAGCCTGGAGCACACAGCCACACTGCCCTGCTCCCTGGGGAATGGGAAAGCACATCCCAGCCTTTGCCATGTCATGGACTCTGGAGTCGTGACACGAAACCTGGGCTGACCTGGGGACAGCCTGGCAGGGTGGGGGTGAGTACTTGTGAACCTTTGGGTCCTGCCCAGATGAAGGTGTTTTATGGCTACAGAAATGGGGGTTTAAATGCAGAAATTTGGATGTAGGTCCCCAAAAGACCCCCCTGCCATGCTGGAAATGCTGATTGTCCTCTGCAGAAGCTCTGTGCTGCTGATGTCAGAGGTCCTGGCTGCCTGGTGGGGAGAGGCAGGAGCACATCAGCTCCTCCAGGAAAGCTCTCCAGCTCCCATTCCAGGCTCAGAGGCTGCTGGCTCAGTGTGCTCACCCTGGCTCAGTGCAAGCAACCACAGACATGAATTTTGAGGCCTCTTGGCAGGGGCAAGGAGGTGGAAATAATGCCCTTTGACTTCTTCCCAGGGGCTGCCTGCTTGGCTCTGGGATGGCAGCAGGGAACGAGCCCAAGGCACTGCCACGCACGGCACGGGAGATGCTGGTGGGACCCCCTTCCCCGGGCACCCACCCTGCTCTGTCCCCCCTTTAGCACCAGCAGTGTCCCCTGCATGGATTCCCAGCCTGAAGAAGGACTTCTGCTGTTCCTGGAGCTGGTGATGGGGGAATTGCTCCCTGGGACACCTCACTGTCCCCATAAAGCTGCAGGGATGGGATTGATGCTGCAGGATCTGGTGCTGGGCAGAGCTGTGCACAGGGCTCCCAGGGGAACTTCTTGGCATTCCCAGGATGCTGAGGTTTGGGAAGCTCCTTGGTTCCTGGGCCTACCCTGACCACCCCTGAGAACAGCCCCGAGTTGTTGGAGGTGTGACGTCCCCAGGAATGGTGGCAGTAATGGCACCTCTGTGCCCAGGGGAGAAAAATCCCACATGTGTAGAGGAGTACAGTCTCTCCCCATGGGACATTTCACTCCAGCTTTCTCAGACTCTGGGATTTCTGCAGCGTGGACACCTACAAACCACTGTGCCAACAGCCTCTGCCTACAAACCACTCTGCTCATGGCACCTCACATCCTGGTGTCTCAGGGGGTTGGTGGGACCTGGGGATACCATCTGAGGCTGATGGGGAGGGCTGGGAGTCATCTTCTGAGGGTTTGTTTTTGTTTTTAGCCTCCTTCAGTTGTCTTTTCCCTCCCTGCTTTGCCAAGGCATTTCCATACGGGTGTGGGAGGTTGGGAGAGCCACAGGCCGAGGGACTGGGGGTGGACTTTGTGGAACTGGTCTCCTGCTATGTTTATCCAATGGACGTGATTGAGAAACCAAAATACAGTATTTTCCAAGAGCATCATGAATTTTACCCAGCCTCAGACTTCCTAGAGCTGGGTCCCTGTCTGATTTCTTGCTCCCCAGAAAGCTTGGGCGACACTTTTTTGGGATGTTTCCCTCACAGCCCCTGTGCACTGGGGAGGTCATGGCCCTTCAGCAGAGTCTTGTTGGGCACTGGGAGCACGTCCTGCAAGACCTGCCTGGCTGCTGGGAAAACATCTGGCTGGATCTTGCCGAGACACACACGGGGTGCTGCTGCCATATGGCAGCTGTGAGGCAACAGCTCTGCTCCGAGCTTTGCTAACGCACAGAAATCCTGCCTGGGAGCCTGTGCTGAGCTGCTCTGGGCAGGAAGCAGTAACCACAGAACTATATATACAGCTCCCAGCAGAGCTGTTGCTGCTGCTGCTTTTGATGTGACAAAACGGAGTTGGTGTTTTGCAAAAAAAATCCGTCGTGTCGCCTTCTTCCGGAGCTGACACGGAGAGGGCAGAGCTGGGGCTGGCTCCTGGGTGGGCTCCAGCAGGAGAGTTGGGATGGGAAAGTGGGTGAGGAGGTCTGGTCACCTCCAAAACCCACGTGGTGCTGGAGGCCACGGGGTCCCTGAGCCGTGGGGAGCAGCCACGTGTTGGAGTGTCAGGGGCTGTGCTCTGCCCCCGGCTCCTGCCAGGGTTTCACTGAGCCAGTTTGGATGGTGCCACGGCTGAGGATTCCAGGAGGGTCTGGGCTTTTTCCCTGTGTGGAAGTTGAATGCATGGAGATGGCAAATGTCACCCACAGGGGATGAAGCCTGGCCCCAAAGGCCAGTTGTCCCCCAGAAGACATGTAGCCCCTCATCTCCTGAAATCAGCCCCCAAATCCCACCGTGCCCCTTTGCTGCCTGCACCCCGACCCTGCCAGCCCCCCACGCAGCCAGGCTGGGCTGGGCATGAGGCTGGGACCCCTCTGCCCCTGCCCTTGGCAGGTGAAGCTCTAAGGTTCAACAGGACCTGTAGTCTGTGCCTCAGGCAGGTGAAGCTGTGAGGTGCTGCAGGACCCCTTCCTGGGCAGGTGAAGCTGTGAGGTGCTGCAGGACCCCTTCCTGGGCAGGTGAAGCTGTGAGGTGCTGCAGGACCCCTTCCTGGGCAGGTGAAGCCCTGAGGACCTGCAGGACCCTTTCCTGGGCAGGTGAAGCCCTGCTGTGCCTGTCCTGTGCTGTTTTGCAGAGCGGGGCTGACTACGGCTTCCTCGTGAGCCAGAACACGAAGCTCCTGAGTGCCCTGGAGGACCTGCGGCACCGCTGCTCCAGCCTGGCCGAGGAGAACAGCCTGCTGGTGAGCAGAGGGCACATCCTGCACCCTGGCTGGGTGCTGGCACGGGATGCTCCACAGGGAGGGAGTCCTGGCCAGGGCGAGCTGCTGTCTGCTGCCAATTCCAAGAGATGCCGCACACGGGATCATCTGGGTAGGGCCAGAGGGGATAGGGGGTCTGGGTGCTCTGGGTGCCATCACACTGCACCCATCAGCTTGAGCTGGACCCCTTCCTCGAGCTGCAGAGCAGAGCCAGGCAGGGAAGGGGAAGTTGCCCTTATTTCCTCTTTAACTATATTTGATTCTGTGAAAAGCAGAAACACTGATTCACTCGGCCTGGTCTCGGCGTGACAGTGCAGCACTGCCCCCTGCTCCTGTGGGAGCTCAGCACCCCGATCCTCCCCAGCTGCACCCCGGCACCCAACACCAAGCCAGGCTGCCACAGCAGCCTTCTGCCCTGTTCTGCCCTGCTCCCCCATCCCTGGCTCTCCAGGCCCATCAGGAAGCACAAAGAGGGGATATTCCCCTCCCAAATCCTCCCTGGAGAGCATCACCCCTTGCCCAGCCCCGCAGTGTGGGGATGCAGCCACCCCGGGCCCCTGCAAATTTGATTGCTCAGCACTTCAGATTTCTATCACCACATTCAAAATGCATATTGTAGATAAATTTCTTACACTAAAAGCATAAATTCCACGTGGCCTGCACCCCAGGGTTACCCCTTATCAGTCCTCTGGGTTTTAGCGAAGCACGAGCGTGTGAGCTCTCATCAAATTGGACTCTCAAAAACCAGCCTCAGCCTTACAGCTGAGCCGCCCTTGGTGGGGTCTCACAGGGGTAGGGAGGGAAATAATCATGAGCCTCAGCTGACCTGACATTTCTGCTGATGTGAAAAGACAGCACAACACATCTGGGTCCGACCTTGGGAGAAGGAGCCGTCGGCAAGAGGCGGCTCATTGGAACGGACAGATAACAAATAAAAGGGGATTAAGAGCGAACAGAATCAATAGGGAGAAAAAGGAAATTTGCTTTGCAAATATCATAAAGTCCTTTGTCGCTTCCTCCGAAGCTCGTGCTTTGGTGTCAGGAGAGAAAAGACACGGATAAGCTTGTCCTGGTGGTGCAGTACAAATCCACAGGGATGTGCTGAGTCCTGTAAACCCGGGGAAATAAACTGGGAAGACTTTGGAGGAGAAAGCCCCAAAGGGTGGGCGGCCAGGATACATTGATGCTGGAGACATGTTGAGTCCTGGCAGAGCCTGCAACGAGCAGGTTGTGGATGGAGAGCGACCACGTGGGATGGTCTGGGGATCTCATAGGGAGCAAGAGGTCACATTAACAAAAATAGCAGGAAAACCACAATTTCAGTGACTGGAGAGGCAACAACAGCAGAGGTTGGTGTTTGATGGTTTGGGTAGTTCTAGAACAGGTCGAGCAGGACCAGGGACATTGGCTCTTGATCAGGGGCTTCACCTCCAGCTTCTTTTTCTGTTCTGCAGCGCAGGAGCTGCTTCCCCCAGACGGAGGAGAAGGTGAAGCACCTGAAGAGGAAGAACGCGGAGCTGGCGGTGATCGCCAAGCGCCTGGAGGAGAGAGCCCGGAAACTGCAGGAGGCAAACCTCAAAGTGGTGGGTGCTGGGACCTGCCCTGGCTGGGGAGCTGAGCTGGGACAGCACCTCACCACCAGGACCTTCTGTTTGCCACTTCCATCGAGCTAGAAAGGCCTTTTCTTTCCCTTTTTCTTAAACCTCCAGCAAACACGCTTTGCAAGAATCACCAAACCCAGCCATCGCCAGCTGCTCTGCTCCTGCTCAGGGAGCTGGTTTGAGGAATTTCCTCCTGCTTGGTTTCTCCCCATAAGGTGATACTTTAGGTTAATTAACGTGGCTTTCTCTGAAGTCATGAAAATAATTCATCTGACTTCACCAGAAAGAAACAGGAAGGATTTGAATAAGAAAAGGAGTGCGGTGAAGCAAAACAGGAAGGGGTGAGAGACAGCTCTGCCCCATCCACACCTCGCTCACAGGGCTGCACAAGCCACAGGGGTTTTGCTTTCTCCAACCCAACAGCAGCTTGTTGTGAAGCCTGTAGTGTTTGACACCTTGCAGGAGCAGCAGGAGATGCCTGTAGGGTGTGGGATCTTGGGCACGAGTTCCTAAAGGGGGATTGCAGTGGAGGAAGGCAAAACCTTCCTTCTGTTGGAAGGAAAGCAGGGATTGTGATGGGGAATTCGAGCCCTCTAGGACAGAAAGGAGGAAGTGAAAGCTGTGTTGGAGGGAAGGTAGGGGGTTTTCCTGGCTCTCTGTCCCCAGGCACCGCGCGGCCCGTCTGTCACGGGGTTTTGGTACTTGCAGGGCAACAGATGGACTTGTCAGATACTACGTTAAGAGAAACCATTTGATATACACCCAACAGCTCTGCAGCCCCCCCAGCACCTATACAAATACTGGTTTATTTGTTTCCCCAGTGAAACTTTGGGGTGGTGACAGTGTAAGGCCTGTGGGAGCCCTGGGAGAACCTGCTGGGCTCCTGTGCTGGCCAAGGTGTCCAAGTGCTCAGATGGCTGAGGCTGGAGGAGGGTGGGCTGGAGGCAGGAGCAGAGGAGGGGCCCTGAGGAACTGGGGTTAATCTGGCAGTGGTTGCCTTCAGTGCCTGGTGCACAGGTCCCATGGAGCTTCTGCACGTGAGTGAGATGCTCAGGAAGAGCTGGGGAGGAGAAGTTTGCACAGAGGATGCAAATCCTGATCAGGCAGGGGAGAGTCCCCCCTCCCCAGATTGTGAGGCTTTGTGCAGATGACAGTAGATGGGCAGAGAGGGGAAGGGTTGGATAAAGTCAGGGACTGGAGGTGTCCTCACTGCCCAGAGGGTTGGGATGAGCAGGGGGTGTGAGCTGCCCCTTTATCCAGCTCTGTGGTGCTGATACCCAGCGGGAGAGCCCACCCCAGGGATGAGGGAATCCCAGGGACACTGTGCCAGGCAGCCTCAGCTCCTGCTGGGCAGACAGAGCCTGTCCCTGACTAGCCTGCTCCCCCTGAAGCCCTGTCACCCCCACCCCTGCTCTTCCCTCCCTCACAGGGAGCATGTGAACCTGACCTGCTTCTTCTGCTGAACATCTCCCAGTCCTTCCCTGGTTGTGCTGGTCCTTGCTGGGCTCTCTCTTGCCTCTCCATTTCCCTCTGTCCTCCACCCAACCATGCTGAAGCTCTTTCCTGCTGCCTAGAAACCCACAGATGCTCCATTTCTCTTCCTGGCTTGACCACCTCTGTCCTTTATCCCATGCCCATCTTTCCTGCCATCCTCCCCTCCTCTTCTCTGCTATCTTCTCCTGTTTTTCTGCCCTCATCCTTGTTTCCTCTCTTCTCCCCACACCGTTGCCCTGCCTGCAGCCCTGTTCTGGCTGTACCCACTGAGCCCACCTGCTGAGCCACCTTCTCCTTCCCACCTCTTCTCTGACCCACTTCTCCATCCAGCCCTTCCTCCTCCACTGCTTGTCTGTCCTTTGGGGCCAGGCTGTTGGGGTGATTGGTGGTGGTGACTGAACACCCCGGAGTGATGGGGTGGTGGCTGATGAACAGCAAGGGGTGGTGGGGTGGTGGTTAAGGAGCACCAAGGGGTGGTGGGGTGGTGGTTAAGGAGCACCAACACACCTTTCTCCCCACTGCTCTCTGTGTAGGTCACTGCTCCAGTGGCTCTGAAGGGCTCCAGCCTGGAGCTGTGTAAGAAAGCCTTTGCCCGCCAGCGTGCCAAGGACCTGACAGAGCAAGCCAGTGCCCTCCTGGCCAAAGACAAGCAGATTGAAGCTCTGCAGCAGGAATGCCGGGAGCTGCAGGCTAAACTCTCGGCAGGGAAGGTGAGACACTTGCCGGGACATCACTCAGGGGCTGGGACAAGCTGTGCAACAGCAGTGATGGAAACCAGGCTCCAGGAAGTGGGCAATTAATCCCCAGTGCAGGCTGAAAACAGACAGGATTTGATGTGTGAGTTGAATGGGGACACTGGGGGAGTGTTGAATGGGGACACTGGGGGAGTGTGTGGCAGAGACAGTGTCTGGACCCCTCTAACAGGCTGTTGGGGGCATCCCAGTTGTCCCTCTGTGAATTCATTTTCAGCAGCAACTAACACCCTTCCCCTGGAAACCCCTGAAAAGCCACAGATACACAGATTTTTCACAGGGCTGAGCTTCAACCAAGATGTAGGAGCAGGGCCTCCTTTTAAAGCGTTTCTTTGGGAAGCCAACCAGCACATTCCCAAGAACCAGCCTAGATCCCACATCTTGAGCTGCAGCTTTCTGAGCACTCACAGCCACCACGAGACTGGTGATAACTCAGTGGGTCCTGGGATGACTGTGATCGAGGCCACAAACCACCAGCCAGGGCTGGGTGTTCATGAAAGCATCCCCAGTGCTGTGTCTGCACCTGGGCTGGTGATCTGCCTTCCCTTCAGCACCAGCACAGGCCATGTGGATATAAACGGTGGGATAAAAGGGATAATTCAGCTCATCCTGAGACAGAACTTTAAAACTGGTCATGTGTGTTGCTCCTCCAAAGCACTTCTCTGTGACAGCTCTGAAAGCAGCCTCTGCAGGCAGCTGAAGCTGGGGGAGATGGTTCCCACTCAAGGTGATAAAGTTTTGGGCAGATCAGCTACATCTGTTGTTCACAAGCTGGACAGTTTCAGTTTAGGTCAGTTCAAACTCTCCTGAGCAGCTCAGGAATGCTTGGGGTCCCCCTGTTTTCCCCCTGTTTTGCTAATGCAAATGTGGCCAAGTGCCACCCTACATCCCTGCCCCCAGCTGAGCTGAGTGAACCCTTGCATTTCTACCTGCCCTACTTACATGATATTTAGGTGACAAATACTTCCTTGCTGAAAGCAGCTTTATTTTTGTTCCTGAGCTCCCCATATGTTCATTTTAACTACAGGTTCGAAGGTGGATTCTCAGTCTTGCCCTAATGTGGATCTAGTGGGGATAAGAGCAACTGGGTGTATTTGGTGTTTGTACAGAGCTGCTCCGTTGATCCTTCCTGGCATTAAACCACAGGATAAACTTATCCAGGTCTGACTGTGCCCTATGGTGTCATCCCTTGAGTTCTCACTGCAGGCCCCTGCAGGAAGGGGAGCAGACCCTTTCCAAAGCCCTCTCATATTCCAAGCAGAGTGTGCTGGGCAACCTGACCCTGCCACGGACAGGGGAGTGACAAATTGTGGAGGAATGGGACAAAAGCAGGTGAGCAGGATTCAGTATTGGCCAGGGAAATACATGTGGGTGCCACCCTCGGGGGTGACAAATTCAGCCACTAGGGCATGGGTGACCTGGTGACCACCCTGCCCCCAAAGGAGAGACAATCCCTGTCACTGCCACAGCACCAGGGACCAGGGACACCGATGTACGAGCAGGGAATCCACAGAAAAGAGAGCAAGAGAGGAGATCATTCTTTCTGATCTTGTTTTCCCCATTTTTCTCCCAAGCAAGCTCATTAAATTTTAATTTCCAGCTAGTTAAAATTCCAAATTCCCGTAATCTGTCTGCAGCATGCAAAATGCATTAGGCCAATGAAGGGGGTTTTATGCAGAGATATGATGGGCATACTCAGAGTTTGTAACCAAATCAGTTTTAATCTCGGGTATTTAAATCAGCACTAATTTTTCAGTAGCTGTGAAATGGATCCACTCAGTTCCCTGCAGTGGCAGGACAAACACTGGCCTTGTTTTGGCAAAGCCAGGGCTCTTAGGATGGGATAAAATGATTTCCTGAGATCACACTCCGGTGAGTGGCTTCCAACCAAACCCCAGCTCCGGGTAAATCCAGGCTGCAATTTCTTGCAGGATGGATTCTTGGAAGCATGGGGTGGGGGGGAGCAGTGAGGCAGCTGCAGGGGATGAGTATAATAGAAACTGAGGGGAGGGCTGAGCTCTTTTCCTCCTCCCTTGTTCCCCCAGGCTCCAGAGGCTCAGTTGGGAATAGCTGCCTATTTTTGGTGGGGGAAGGGAGATTTTATACACAGCCACAGCCAATTTTGCTTAAAGAACTACTACCCTGAGAGCCTGAACAGGGGGCTGGCACAGAGGAGGCCCAGCTGCTCACTTCTTGAATCTATAATCAGTTCCCTTTAATGGTGCCTCAGTTTCCCCCCTTGCACCATGAGAGTAACCACGGTTTTCTCCTCAAATTGTATTTTTAAAGCATATGCTATTTTTAGGGGGAATAAGAAGCGAACAGAGAAAAAGATTAAATTTGTCCTGGATACCAATTCTGCTTTGAATTCACCGGCTTAGGAGCTTTCCAGGGGAATGAGCAATGTCTCCTTCAGCAGCAGATTTGTAAAGACAGGTTTTCATAACCCGCTGTTGTACATGTGGACATGCAGGTACGTGTTTCTTCAGCCTCCAGAAATCTGAAAACCTTTGAAGAACGAAACAAGCTGGTGACATATTCTCACTAGTTTTGTGAGAATCAGATTGGGCTGGTTTCCTTCAAAAGCTGCTGGGTTTGGGTCGGGATGGGAGTGACCCCTTGTGCTAAAGATAGGGGCCTATCACTGTCTCTGACAAGGAGAGGAATCAAATAGTTTGAAAACCAAACATTATCCTGAGGGAGAACTGACCAATTCCCAGATGTTCTTCGTTCTTGCAGCCACTCAAAGCCCTCACCACCGCTGGGGCTGCAGCGCTTGCCAGCACCCACCCACGTCAAGGAGGGGAAGCAGCTCTGCTTTGGCTGGGACACGACGTGACATTATCCTGCCACGCTCCCTGCTGGCATGTGCTGAGATGGCACACGCCTGGCAAAGCCCTTCCTGCCGGGAGAGCTGCAGGAGCATTACAGGACCATTACAGGCTGGGGTTTATCTTCAGGAGGAAAAATGTATTTGCGTAAAGGACGCAAAGTGAGCTTTGAGGCTTTGGAGACCCAGGAATCAGCAATCTGTGTGTGCCACAGTAGCTGGGTTCCACCAGCCTCTCCTCTTTTGGAGTGTGTGTGTTAAATGTGACCTGTCCCAGCTTTTGGAGCCTGTCAGTGACACGACACCGGGTTTATTTTCCTGCAGGACGACCCTCGCTGCCTCAACGTCATCGAGTTTGACCGCCTGCTGCGGGAGTCCCAGCGGGAGGTGTTGAGGCTGCAGAGGCAGATTGCCCTCAAGAATTTCAAGGAGTGTCTGCATCCCCCCAAAATGAGCCCAGGCAGTGCCAGGTCGAGCACTGCCCCACGCCTGGGACCGAACACCGGCAGCAAAGGTTCACCTCTGCCAAAGGAGGCCTCCTTGGGAGACCCGGCGCTGGGAGGGAGAGCTCGCAGGGAGGTGAGACAAGTGGGTCAGACATCGGAAAGTTTTGATGTTTAATTGCTCAATTAATTGCTGTTCTTAGGGAGTTTCACTTGGAGGAGGCGAGGGTTGTGGTTTGCGTCCGCTGCACATCGGTGCTGTGCTGGTTTCCAAAGGGACTAATTCCAGTGCCAGGTCTCAGAGAGTGAGGAGGGACATAGGTGCTCCTGGCAGCACATGGTAGGGACACTGAACCATGCCAGGGGCTCAGTCCTGCTCCTTTTCGGAGCTCCCGTGCTACTTTTTCCAGCCTAGGAAACCGAGCAATGCTTCTCTTTCATAGAATTGTGGAATGGTTTGGGTCGGAAGGGACCTTAAAGCTCATCTCATTCCACCCCTCTGCCATGGGCAGGGACACCTTCCACTAGACCAGGTGGTGGAAGACTGCATCCAACTTGGCCTTGGACACTTCCAGGGATGGGGCAGCCACAGCTTCTCTGCCCAATCTGTGCCAGGGCCTCACCACCCTCACAGCCAAGAACTCCTTCCCACTGTCCCATCTAACCCTGCCCTCCAGCAGTGGGAAGCCATTCCCCCTTGTCCTATCACTGTCCGCACATTTCCCCTCCCAATGCTTGTTCCCGCCTTTTGTGTATTCCTGTTGCTCCAGGAGGTCCCTACCTGAGTCCTAACCCTGCCCTCTGGCAGTTTGAAGCCATTCCCCCTTGTCCTGTCCCTCTATCCCTTGTCCCAAGTCCCTCTCCAGCTCTCCTGGAGCCCCTTTAGGCCCTGGAAGGGGCTCTCAGCTCTCCCTGGAGCCTTCTCTTCTCCAGGTGGAACACCCCCCGCTCCTCCAGCCTGGCTCCAGAGCAGCAGAGGCGGATCCAGACTGGAGCATCTCCGTGGACTCATCTGGTACTCGCTCCAGCCGCCCCAGAGTTTGGCGGCAGCTCCAGCGGGGTATCAACGGAGACGGGTGACAAAGAACGGGCAGAAACACGTGTTGTGATGCAGAACGGGGCTCAGCCCAGGACGCAGGTCAGCAGGTTCCGTTGCCCGGCCATGAAGGACTGAGAGCACATACGCATGAAGTGGTTTTAGCCCCGAAGATCGGGGCCGCATCAGGGGCGCGAATCCGAAGCGGCCGAGCGGCCGCCAGCGTTTAATGGAAGGCGAAGGGGCAGGGAGTGAAAAGTGGGGGTGTGTGTATGGGTGTGTGTTGGGGAAGGGGGTGTGTAGTGTGTATGGGGGGCAGGGGGTGGGTGTGTGGGGACAGGGTGTGTGTGTGGGTGCCAGGGGGGGGTGTGTGGTGCGGGCGGGCGCTGGTCTGGGTGTGTGTGGGGAAGGAGGGGGGGGCTGTTGTGTGGGCGCAGGGGGTGTCGTGTGTGGGGCAGGGGGCTCCGTGTGTGTGTGGGGACGGGGGGGGGTGTGTATGTGTGTGTGTGGGGCCGGGGGTGTGTGTGTGGGGCCGGGGGTGTGTGTGTGGGGCCGGGGGGGTGTGTGTGGGGCCGGGGCTGCCCCGCGGGGGCTCCGCCGGGGCCGGGCCGGGCGGGCCCGGGGCCCCTCCGGGGAGCGGCGGTGCCGCCTCGGGGCCGAGCCGCCCCCGGGCAGGGCCCGCCGGGGCCTCTGCGGGGCCGGGCCGCGGGTCCCGCTGTGCCCCCGCAGCCCCCGGGCGGCTCCTCGGGGTTTTGCTCCCGCGGGTTCTCCTGGTTCCCCCCCGTGTCCCCTGTGGGTTCGGGATACGCGTGTTCCCCCCAGGCTGCACCAGCTGCTCCCGTTTGTTGCCCCCCCGGGCCCTCGCGGCAGATGTGTTGAGTATATTCATTCCTCGCTCGTCCATTCCGAGTCACCCGTGGATTTATAACCCCCTTCTCCTTCAGCCATTTTTTTTTGTTTGTTTCTTTCCAGCCTCTCCCATTATTCAGTGCTAGCATCTTTGTCTCCTTTCCTTTGTGCGTTTTCCCTGCCGGTTTTGTGCTGGGGAGGACAACGTGCGGCGCTGTCCCGGGCTCTGGCGTTGATTTATACGGTGGCATAATGAAGTTTTCTCTCCCTTCCCCAATAGATCTCTTTGCCTTTTTGTCTGAGCACTGGGGCTCTATTAAACCATCACTTGTCTCTCTAATCTCTCAGTGTCACGAGGCCCTCGTCGCTGTTTGTCTCTGCTGCATCGGTGCTTGGAGAGGACAGTTCCCGCTCCCTCCTTTTTTAGTCCTTTCATTTTTATTAGATATTTACCCGAGGAAAAAACCTTCCCCCCCTCACCCTGTGGTGTCTCAGTGTCTGCCAAAACCTGTTAAAGCACCGCAGCTGAAGGTGTGAAGGTGTTCTGAGCACCCAAGCAGGTTCCTGCTGGATCTCCCACACCCCTTTGCTTGCTGTTTTTTTGTCAGAAGAACTCTGTGTAGATTTGTGAATGTGTCCTTGCCCCCAGTATAAGTTAGTTTGAGTTATTTTAAGCACCTGCCTTATCTTAGTTGTGATTTCTATCCATTTGCCCAGAGCAGGTGTCGAATGTAGTGGTCTGTCTTTCCACATTTGCCCACTGGAATATGCTTAAAACTCTGGAATACTCTTAAAACTTGGCATTTGCCACCTTCCAGTTAATTTGTATTAAGACAGTGTTGGAGAAGTGACACTCTGCACGTATTGATTCAGTTCCTGCTGAAGCGAGAGATTCAGTTCATGCCAGAGGGGGTTCTTTGAACTCTTGGGTGTTATTAATCTGATCTTGGTTAATTATCTGATCTTGGTGATTTGTTACTGTGTATTTTGTTGGCTTCTACAGTTGTTCTTACAGGCAGTTCAGTTTGAGAGAGATCCTCAGCTCTGTCCCTAAAATCTGTTTAGCAAAAATAACTTTGAATGTTTAAAGCATTATCAAAGCCCTCTTTCTTCTGTGTGTCTCCGGCCTTGCTTTGCTGTCAGGGATTACTCTGGGCAGACAATGTCCAGTCAAATACCAGTGGAGAGGGAAAATTCAGAGGATTAAAGGTTTGCTTGTCTGTAGCCCAAATGAAAAGGCATTTTGTTAGAAACTTGTGTACAATTGTGTACAGAAAATTGTTTCCTTTCATTTGGTTTGGTGATGGCACATAATCCACGCAACTGCTGCCCTTTCAGTCCTTCTCAGCTGCCAGCTGAGGTGGGGCACTGTTTCTTGGTAGTGTTTGCTCTTCCCTGCCTTTAGATTCTGACATCTTCTCTGATTCCTGCCCTTTGAGGGCTGTGCTCTCCCATCTGACCATCTTTGTATTGCTTTGGGAGGGTCACGGAAGGGGTGGCTGCTGCCTCTCATCAGGCACAAATGGGAACTGGGATCTGAGAGCTTCCTGGGGGCCACTGTTGCATGGGGGTGGTTCAGTCAAGCTGGACTGGTTGGCACTGGGCTCCAGGAGACTCCCAGCACAGGTTTCTGGTGGCACAGAGATCCCTGGCACAGTGTCCAGCTTTCCCCATGCCCAGTGGTGCAGCTCAGAGATCAGGAGTCTCATGGGGAGTGTTGCTCTCCCAGGTGGCACTGCCAGGAGTGTGCCCTGCAATCCTGCCTGTCCCTGAGCTCTCTGGCATCTCTTCTGCTTTCCAGGTGGAACCAGGTGTGCAACCACTGGGACCTGCCTCTGAAGGACATGAAAATTTCCCTCCCAAAAATGCAATAACAGGCCAAGAGACCAGAAAACAGATCCAGCAGCTGGTGAGTTGTGAACTTGGTTTGGGGGAAGGAATGCTACACTTTTTTATTTTTCTTGGGTTTTCCACCCAGATAGAGATTTTAGGGGCTGAAGTCTTTTTAGGTGCAGCTGCTCTGGCAAAAGTGGGAAGCTTGGGGAATCAGTGGGAAAACACAGGCCATCTGCATGGAGAGTGTTGCTGGGTGGCAGCTCCAGGTGCTGGGCTGGCAGGGGAATATGTCACACTAAAATGAGAGGAAAACATGCCAGTAGGTTCTGTGCTGTGTTTGGTTTAGTCTTATTTGAACTGGGGACAGATGTGGATGAGGAATATGTCCCTTGGGAATTTTTCCAGCAAATTATGACAGTTCACAGGGAGGTTTAGCAGCTCTTTTCTATCTGAGGAGCCAAGAGGTAGCTGCAGGAGTAGCTGCAGGTAAAGGTACATAAGCAGAGGATGTCTGTGCTCTGTTAGGTGTCATTTGGGTGAGAATAGGGGCTGAAATAGCACAGCTGATGTTTAAAGCTGAGAATTTTGCACAGCTCTGTCTTTTTGTCCCCCGCATCCTGTCTCCATACTACTCTCTCCAAATAGGAACAATCTGTGCAAGTGGGAAACAGGACTGATTCCAGAAGATTAAAGGCTTGAGGAAGAGAGAAATAGTTGTTTCACTTAAAAAGTTTTTTAGTTTTCCTACACTTAAAAAAAAAAAATCTCCCTTGGTTTCTACATTGTTCAAGTTTGTCACAAAGAGATTTTTATGAGAAAATCAGATAATGCAGCACTGGGTCTGAGAGGCTGGCCTTGAATTTCCCATGCATTGTAAGAGTGTGCACTTGCTGATCTACTGCTGCTTGTTTCCTGCAGGAATTTGAACTCAAGAAAAAGCGCAAAAAATGTGAAAACCTTGAGCATGAAGTGAGGAAAAAGCATAAAAGATGCAAAGAACTAGTAAGTGTTCTTGTTGCCTGCTGTTGTGAGTGTGATGGGAGAAGAGGAGCTGGGTTGTTGTGTGTCTCTTGGATTCTCCAGCTCATCTTAGTGATGAATCACCATCTTTCTGGTTATTTGGACAGTGTCACAAATTTTGGGCTTGTTTATTTAGTCTTTCAGTTACCTGTGGGTTGAGTGCAGCCACATAAATCACTGGGTGGAATTCCATGGCCTTTGATAGTTTGGGGAGATAATTAGCATTTTCACAGGCACTCCGGCACTCCAGACAAATATTGAAAGATTTCTTTCCTTTTCTTTTCTTTCTTTTTCTTTCTTTTCTTTCCTTTCCTTTTCTTTCTTTTCTTTCTTTTCTTTTCTTTTCTTTTCTTTCTTTCCTTTCCTTTCTTTTCTTTCTTTTCTTTTCTTTCTTTCCTTTCTTTCCTTTCTTTTCTTTCTTTTCTTTCTTTTCTTTTCTTTCTTTCCTTTCTTTCCTTTCTTTTCTTTTCTTTCTTTTCTTTCTTTCTTTTCTTTCTTTTCTTTTCTTTTCTTTTCTTTTCTTTTCTTTTCTTTTCTTTTCTTTTCTTTTCTTTTCTTTTCTTTTCTTTTCTTTTCTCTTCTCTTCTCTTCTCTTCTCTTCTCTTCTCTTCTCTTCTCTTCTCTTCTCAAATCTTCTCTTCTCTTCTCTTCTCAAATCTTCTCTTCTCAAATCTTCTCTTCTCAAATCTTCTCTTCTCAAATCTTCTCAAATCTTCTCAAATCTTCTCTTCTCTTCTCAAATCTTCTCTTCTCAAATCTTCTCTTCTCTTCTCTTCTCTTTTTCTGTAACAGTTATTCCCTATATTTTCAGAACTGAGAATGAAGTACATTGGGAGGTATAAGACTAAAAGTCTTGCAATTGAAAATTTTAATTTAGAGGCTTTGAATAAAATAATCTGATGACTCATGACAACGGTAATAGTCCTTGACCAAAGTTGTGGTGAAAGGCTTGTTCAGAGTCGACCTAAGTCTCAGGTCACCAAATAGGCCTTGTGGAGGAATCACCAGCCTGGGATACAAGTAGCCTGGGGCTACTGCATGATCATTTTCCCAATCCCAGCAAGAGTAGAGTAGTGAAGAACACCAAGTAACCCTCTCATAAGCCTTGCTTACCCATTGCTCATTCATACAACCCTTCAAACAACACAATTTGTGGCTACTTCAAAGTATGCATGTCCTAACTGCCTAAGTATTCCTGGGAAGACTTTGCACTTCAGCTGCCCTGGCTCCCATGCCATCAGCAGCACAGAAGCTAGTTACTTTAAAGCTAGAACAGCTCTGTCAACATCAACTACAGCCACTGTGAACAAGTCAATGCTTTCATGAATGCTCAAGATCTAGCAAACCCTATTTGCTGCCTTTAAATAAGGGAATGATTGGCATAGTGGCAGCAGGCACAGTGGAATAAGAGAAGCATTTCCATTGTCTTTCTGGAACATGATGGTGACCTCTGAAGATCGAGATCAAATTGGAGCAAAAGAATGTAGCAAGGCTGCATTGTTTTCTTCCACTTCTTCAGAACAAATAGAGAAATATAAAATTCTCTTAGTTCTACTGACTTCAGGAAAGCCGTGACAGCCTATACCAGTATCTGCAACTGGTAGCTTTCATAAGCATTGAAACACATGCACAAAACCCCTGCGTTTGTGTTTTGGAGGAAAATTCTGTATAGAAAAAGGTGGCATATGTTTTATGAAACAGCACCATTTCTACCGGCTGTATACCTTTGGCTCTGTATTGCTGGAAGAACTGTATTTTGTCATGAGTGGACATATGCTCTGCTCTCACATCCTCACATTCCTTCATGGGATGAAGGAAGTACTGCAGCTCAACTTTTTCAAAGTGTATCTACCTTCAAATCTCTTCGACATTCACAAGCAGGCTCCTTTACAAATGCCTGGCAATTATGTCCACATCTATTTTTAGAGTTGTCTAACACACTTCAAAAAGAAGGAAGGAATGCAACAAAAACAGGGCTACCATGTGTCACTTCCTTTAAAAACAACGCTTGAGTTGCCATGACTTACTACTTTACTGCTTACAAGATGGGTGGTTTCCTCCTTGAGATTTTTCCAGCCACTGATTCTAGTGAAATTTAGTCTCTCAAACAGTATTTCTTTCAGTTTCTTGGGAATAGGAACCCAGGCAATGGTGGCACAAGAAACACACTATTGGATGCCACAGCCCGCGGGGAAAGGGAATGGGACCGGGCACTGCAATGAGGGTCTTTGACACAGTAGAGGTCGGTGAAGCAATGCCAATTTTATTAGGGGAGCACGAGACTTAAATAGGGTAGGATAAGGAGGTGGAACCAGGCGAGGGGAGGAGTCTAGGATTGACAGCTCAGGGACACATATAATAGGGCGACTGGGTAAGGAAGGGAGGAGTTTTGCTGTAACCGGGGGAATGGGCCAAACTACAACCAATGGCAGGCAGAGGAGCGCGAAAACAGGGGAGGACAACAGGTTTTGGCGGGAAAACTATGAGGGGAGAAGAAGGCAATATGGAGGATAGGGTTTTTTAAAACAACAACTGGGGTACATATAACATCACAATAACACAACAATAAACTGGGGAAAAAACGACAGTCCGGTATATGTCATATCCAGTAAACAAGTGTCCATTCCAGTGTGTGCTGTCTATTCCGGGTTATAAATCTGCCTCCATGCTTGGTATTTGTTCCAGTCACTTTCCTCTTCCCCAACAGTTGGACAGAAGATAGAATATTTGAGAAACATTAGCTCTGTGATACTCTTACCTGGGAGAAATGCATGACCTGGGAAGGAATACCTTGTGCTGTAATGTCTTACATGACATGAAGCCCAAAAAGGCTGCTGAAAGAGAGTGACAGTTTAACATGGATTATTGCATTTTGACTATTTCTCCTACAGGTTAGAGACTCCTCATATTTAACACACAATGTGTTCTGCTCTCTGTGGACTAGTTATGAACATGTTACATAGATACCCTCAAAAACACTTATAGGCTGCTTGTTAATATTGGTTTTGTATATCCCATCTTTTCAAAACCTACATTTCAGTATAATCAGCACAAATGAGGAAACACTTGGAACCACCTGTGAAAACCTCAGTCTTTTTTGGCCCTGTTAAAAGAGATGTTGGGATAGTCCACGATCTTTCCCTCTAAGTGAACAAAGGATGAGGAATAGCTATTCCACATCTGTAAAAAGTCATGGGACTTTTGATCACATGAGAGAAGAGGACTAGCTAGGAAATGAAAATAGGTCTGTAGTGCAGAAGAGGTACTTCAAAGAAATCTTTAATTTTCATGCTGTCCAGGATGAAAACAGAGCTTGGCCGTCATTTGAAGCTGTTCTGGGATATGTCACAATGAACAGAGATTAGCTGTTATATTCAGCATTTGTTTTGGTATCCTCAAAATCCTATAAAATTCTGATCTTTATCAAATTGAGCTAGAAGGACAAACAAACCAATAAATCTATTTTTATGATGATTATGTTATACAACTCAGGGATTAAATAAATGTTAAATATAATGCGTGGGAACACTAGCTAATCGTCTTCCAATCATAAGAGTAGGTATTAAGAAGTAGACTGTAGTATGGAACTGATGTTCAAAGAGATTATTTTTCTTAAAATTATAGCAAGTAGAATAACCATTTTTTATTAGTCATTAGTGCCACCCATCACCACGAGTACTTAGTCCATTTCTTACACAGAACAGCTATTGAAAATGCATTGTCAGCTTTAACCTAGTATGCCCTCAATGATTTGGGATTTGGGAAATGCCCTGTATTTTCATGTCCTAGGGCCACTGGGGAGACCAGCAGAGATTCATAAAGGGAGATGCTGGCTGAAATCTTCTGTAGCAGGTTTAGATCTTGCTCTTAGCCATGAGCTTTGTTATTGTTTAAGGTGTCCTGCTCTGTGTTCACGCTCCATCTTGCAGTTAGGACAGGGTGGGCTGTAGGATGTACATTTGTATGTGCCTTTCTTCTATTCTTACCCCATGAATTTTTATTACTGATGCTGGGATAGATGCTTTGACCTATTTTTGAAACTGGACATGTAGAGATGTATTTTGAAAATGCGAATGTAAATAATAACCATGTATTATTAGGAGAAAGAATGAGTACCACAGAATTAAATACCCAAGAGTTGCTATTTATTATACTCCTTGACTCTATCCTCAGTGATGTCTACTAAATCACCTGACAGGAGACCTATGCTGTGGAGAACTGCTCTGGCATGTGGGCAGCTGTATGGCAAGGTGCCTGACACCCAGGAAATCGATCTCACCTTGCTACTAACTGCATCCACAGACTGGTCTCATCTCAGGGGTGGAAGGAACAGACTCAATTCCAAAATCTGAACTGGCAGAAGCCTGTAGTCTAGCAACAAACAACCATAGTCAACATTATACCAGGGGTATTAGTGACAGAAGCACAACTCTCCAGTTTTGGCTGGGCCACTATCTTAGTTGATATGTTTCTTCACAGGTGAAGACATGTCCTGTCTGAATTAGGCAGATGCAGGTGGCCTGAGTTCATCTTTGCACCTTTCTTTACACTTTTCTCCACAATGACGTGTTGTGGGTAAGGTTCTGTAAGACTATTACCAGTTAAAAGTAGCACCATAAGTAGAACAGATCCTGGGATATCTGCTGCAGAAGGAGCAGTCCTGAACAAACTTTTTATGTTCATAGCAGAGAAGAAAGGCAAGTTGCCTGATAGTATTCTAGGCTAAGTTGTACAGAAGAGAGATATAATCATCTCTAACATTGGTGGCTGCCAGCTCCATTCTGTATGTTCAGTTCAATTATTGCATAAATTGTTTAATTTTATTAATGCAATATTTAAAACATTACATAAAATATTTAATTTTAGAAGGGGCAGCTTGAAGACAGTTTTTTCCATAGTATAACATATACTCAAACACAGAATATATTTAATAATATATACCTAAAGCTCAGAATTAAAGTTCAATGTTCTATATAAATGATGGGGAAAAGTCCACAATACCCATCCTCTGAGTATTGTCAGAATTTATGGGTTGATGATAAGCCTGTACTAATTTCGTAAAACATTGATGATACTTCCAGCTACAGTAAAAAAACCCCATACAGATATGAATATATGTTAATAACCTGAAAAAAGTAAGCATAAAAAATGGGGTTTACATTATGTGATATATGTAAAATCTAAAAATTCAGTAGCAGTTCAGACATTAAACTTTATTTTTTTGCAAGTTGTAAGAATAAGGAGATAGATTTCAGTTTGAATTCCTCAAAAAAACCCTCTCATTCATAATTTAAATAGGGTATTTGAGTGAGAATCTTTGCAGAGATTGACTGTTAGAAACAATCAGTCATTAAAATGGGGTCATGAAACATAAACCTTCAGAGAAGGAACTGGTATGCTTCACTCCAGGAAACCATGCTGCTCGGATTGTTTATGTCTGAAATGATATCTGTTTGCAGGATTCAGATCAGTGAGGAGGAACTATAGTGCCTTCTCTTTTTTTCCAGCCCTATCTGGCTGCCAGTGTGTCTGAGCTGTCAAGGAACAAATGCTCTGACTTCATCTCACATGCTCTTTCCTCCGTATTCTGACAGTGCCTCTCAGGTTCGGAGATGTGTCAACCCCATTGTAATGAATGTTGCTAAAATGGATGCACTGAGGAATTAAACATGGAGATATATGTTGAAATTGCCTTTCCTATTTGTCAAAGGTGACAAGCCCCTGAAAGAAATTTGGAAAGAATAAGCACATCTGTAATGGCTGAAGGTGGGTTTTTTCCTGCTTCTACAGATAATGCTTCGTATAAAGCCAGCCCTC